GGGGTGAAGCGATTCAACCGTAGATTTATAGTAAGATCAGTTTAGACTAAAGCCATTCGCTAAAAACACTGAAATTCTATAATTTATTTTTATCGAGAGAATTTTATTGATTTCTAAATCTGGATTTCTCAGACTCTTCTTACTTTCATAAGGTCGTGTTAGACGTACCCAGAAAACATTCAAAGGGAAAACTTTATCTTTCTTAAGATTTCCTTATAGATCCGAATCGAAGCAGCCAGTTTTATAAGAAGATTAATCTTCTCCACCAGCAGATACTTAGAATGATGTCAGATCATTGCAATCAGTGGTATCATGGTAGTCTCACCTATTCTTGGTACTGTTATGAGTTCGATACCCACTACTGGTTCGATATTTGTGGTATTTTTCTTGGTTAATGTCTTGTGTTCTACTCGGCATTAAGGTAGTTTGAAAAATAATAAAGTAGTTCAGCGTGAAACAATTGACAGAAACAATTCCAGCTCATCCCTACTACGGCAGTGAGTTCATATCTCTTTGTTTATCAGACATTGCTGCTTTCTGCTATAAAACATTATGAGTAAATAAGCCAAGTAGACTGAATTTGTTGACTCAGTATTGTTCTTGTATTGGCGCGTAGGTATATTGCTTCATGACAAAGTTGGTTTTGTTTTTTTATACACCTTTATGCAAATTAAATGAAACAAAACGAATAGTTCCGTTATTATATTGCTTTTTTTGTATTTTTCCAATGAAAAACGAGCTAATGCACATGTTAGTACTTAGTATGTTCATTCCACAAAGTCTTTTCTTTCAGATTGACCAGATTCTCGATTGAATTTAAATCAAGAGAGTTTCCGAGCCAGTCCATAGTACTTTGATTTGCTTACCGGTAAGCCTTGTCATTGTGTTCGTGCAGTGTTACAATTTTCATAAACTTCCTTGGAGTAACATCCATCTCAGACAATGGCTGTAGGACAACTAATCGACTATCGAGACAATAGTGCCTGGACGTGATAAAAATCTGATGCAATCACAGATGACGCAATATTTTTCAAGGCCAAACAAAATTCATCATACTCCCCAATAATAGATTCATATTACTGAACGCCTCTGTAAATGACCTAATCTGAGGAAAAATAGAATTACACACTGTCACTCCAGGGGGTCTAAAACTGAATGTATATTGAAAGAAAGGAAACTAAAGCTGTTGATTCAATTAATTTGCACAAGGGTGTATTTAAGCATTAAATCTACAATTTTCCATATAATTGAAATGGGTCAAAATCAGCTTATTTTTTAAAATCTTAGGAACATGTCGAATGTTAAATCATTGTTTATATAAAATGACAACAACTTGTCAGTGGCGTTTGCTTTGGTGCTGAGTTTCTGGTGGGATCTAGAAACCTTGCACCGTTTAGTTCCGTGTCGGATTTTGTTAAATGCTGAAGTCTTCTCCACAAATGTATGCCTGAAAGATGAAGGACTAAAAATTGCACTTACGCCATATTATGCTCCATGAATCTTGGAAAGGAGTAAGCGTCGGAACTGCGACCAAAAACATTCAGAAGGTTTGTTTAAATTGTACTCCAGCCCTTTAGACGGCCAAAAAGTGGAAAGATTTCGTCAGGGTGATTTTAACCTAAACGATCAACCACGCTCCGGGCGAACTTCCAACGTCGATGAAGACGCCCTTCTTGCCATCGTAGAGAACAAACCGAAGATTTCGACGGAAGAGATTACTAAGAGTTTGAAAATCGATATCTGAACTGCCTTTTGCCATTTGAAGAGACTTGGGTTTAAGAAAAACAAAAATCGAAAAGATGTCATTTTCCACCACGACAACGCAAAACAGGCCTTGAAAAAGCTTAAATAGTTGAAACGAAAAATTCTCCAGTACCCACCGAATTCTCCCGACTTGGATCCTTAAGATTTCTATTTCTTCCGGTTTCAAAGTAAATGACAAAATAATTGACTCTATACTGACAGTCGAAAAATACCTCACAACAATGCTTCCTATAAAAAAAAAAAACACGAAGTTATATGCCGAAATGGAATCAAAATGCTTGTAGAATAATGGGAGACAGTTGTTAAAAACAATGGAGACTCTCTACTTGACTAATAAATGTTTTTAATAATCGTGTAAAATTTTGTTTTTAATTTTATAATCGGGCATACAATTTTGCAATGATCTAATAATTTTGTTGATCATAGTAGGAGAAGGAGGAGGAGTAAAGCAGTAAGAGGTTATCAGGACGAAGCGTCTGAGAATTCCAGATATAGAAATCAATGGAATTTTCTAGATAAAAATAAATTATAGAATTTCAGTGTTTTTATCGAATGGCTTTAGTCTAACCTGCACTTACCATAAATCTAGGGTTGAATGGCTTCACCCCAAAAATAGCATCGGAAGAAGAGTCTGGACATAGGTCAAAATATTCACAAGAAATTGACCCGAAAATTTTATGTACCAATCTAGAAATTGCTATGGATGGTCATTTTTATTTTCCTTTTTTTTTTTGTTTTTTTGCAAATGTAATGTTTAAGTCTGTTCAGTGGTAAATGGATCTCTGTCTGATCTTCACCTTTTCCAACTTTATGACCCTTGATCAGACGAGGCCGTGTCAAATTTCATTAGTGTTTCCTTTCAGGAAGAAAAAAAAAGAGAGACTCGAAGATTAAATAGAAATAAATATGTATGGAGAAGGTAACGATATACTCTGAATATTTCTGTTTAATACACATACACACACACACACACATACACATATATATATATATGTGTGTGTGTGTGTGTGTGTGTGCGTGTGTGTGTTGTATGTGTGGATATAGTAGATCGATAAAATAAATTCAAGAGAACAAAATAGTAATAATAATAACAAAATAATGTCATATCATCATCATTATTATTATTATTATTATTATTGTTATTATTATCATTATTATTATTATTATTATTATGCCTAAAAATAAAAGCATAATAAGGAAAAAAATTTTAAAATCTAAATTTTCGTACACGTTTGTTGAAATATTTGGGAGATATTTTCTATTTTCTCTCGAATTTCTTTCGTCGGCCTAAAATAACTACCTATTATAAGAAACATACGTTGACAATCTTTGTTTACTGTCATATATATCGTATAAAAAAATATAGTGTATGTGCATGTGCATGTCCAAGCAACTATTCCGCTCCGATTTTAATGATTCATAGCTCATTCAAAAGTCTTAGACACAGGGAACGATTTTCTTTGAGCTCAGATTCAGGGTTTCCATATTATGCGAGGTTAAAAATATATATTAATATATTGTACAAGCCATTATCGTTGCTTTCATGGTTCAAGGGGAGTAACTTTTCCTTTTATATCTAAAATTGCAGCTAACTTAAAATTTTAAGTTAGCTTAAACGCCGCCCATCGTATTTCTGTTTAATCAACACATATGCTAGGCCACAAAAATCTCCTGAAGAGCATAGAAATGTTCGACCAAGCATAAAAATGAATACAATATGGGAACCAGTAATAAGGAGTGCCAGAGAAAAACGATAATGAAAACAAAAGTTGCAATATGAGCTCTGGTAAAAAAATGAAATGATATCAGCAAAAATTGCAATATGAGCACTGGTAAAAAATACCTCATCTCAGAAATATAGACAGATACTTAAGTTGTCATCTATTTGTAAAACTTCCCTTAACTATAAGAAGCCAATTTATGAAAGAAATGTTCATTTAAAATTTTAGCTTCAAAGATTTCAAGTAGTGAATATATCTTATTTTGCGAAGTGATAGCCGAGTATAATATAGAAAAGACCGACGGAAGCCACAGAACGTCTGTAATAATAATAATAATAAATTGTGATGCCAACAAACACTCGTTTGACACTTTTGTAATGTCGTTGTAGTAGAGACTTTGTAATCGCAGATACCACTATAGTATGCTATTGAACAATGCTGGTGACAGACGCCTTGTAATAATAATCGCTCGAATACTAATCCGTATAGTGAAATAGTATAGAGAATAGAAGTCCGTATAGTAATAGAGGATAGAGTAGAAAAGATGATCTGAATAGTAATGGAGGATAGAATAGAAATAGAGATTATTTAGAAGTCATGAGATCACCTATTTATGCGTTTCTCCCATGACCATTGATCCACTTAATTCAATAATGGGATCGCCTGTGTTTGCTCACTGGTGATCTATGTTCAAACTCAACTGTCAGCAGCGACATTTATTCCTATATAACAAAAATAATCTCCAAATAGTCTCTCTGGTAACCTCGAATAAAAATACTCTCTAAAATTGCTTTCTAATAATCTCTAATGAAAAAAAATAATCTCTAAAATTGCTTTCTAATAATCTCTAATAAAAAAAATACTCCCTAAAATTGCTTTCTAATAATCTCTAATAAAAAAATACTCCCAAAAATTGCTTTCTAATAATCTCTAATAATAAAAATAATCTCTAAAATTGCTTTCTAATAATCTCTAATAAAAAATAGTCTCTAAAATTGCTTTCTAATAATATCTAATAAAAAAATAGTCTCTAATATTGCTTTCTAATAATCTCTAATTAAAAAATACTCTCTGAAATCGCTTTCTAATAATCTCTAATAAAAAATACTCTCTAACGTTGATTTCTAATAATCTCTAATAAAAAAAAATACTCTCTAAACTTGCTCTCTCATAGTTCAGCTTTTAACACCATACCAAATATAGGGGTAAAAAAGAAATTTTCTTCATATGTAATTCTTAAAAAAGATAACTGTAACCTATCTTGATAAAGACAACTAAATGCTATAAATATTTTAGAAAAATGTGAATGTTAAAAACTTAATAAGAACGATGAAGATTAGATGTGCACAAAATATTTTTCTAAGTTAATTTTATTGAATCCAATATAAATGTTATTTTATTTTACTGCAAAACTCAATAATGCCAGTTTATATGTAATGAAGAATTATATAAACATTTAATCAATTCGCAACCTCGGATCACGAGGCGTGAATCAGCGTTTAACGAAAACAATACATAAAAAGATTATAGATGTGAGTAGATTTAGATAGATAGATAGATAGATAGATAGATAGATAGATAGATAGATAGATAGATAGATAGATAGATTTGGTTTGGTTTGTTTTCTTTTCTTTTGTTTTACGACATATCAACCTCAATGGGTTATTTAATGCCGACAAAATTGTTATTGCTGGTAATGTTTTTCTTCTAAAATCTATTTCTGGGAATATTTTCCTTGAAGAAATCTATAGCTGGTCATATTTTTTCCAAAGAATATATAGCTGTTTGTGTTTTTTTAAAGTATTGCTGATAATAATTCCTCCTTCAAATATTATTGCTGGTAATAATTTTTTTATTACAAAGTATTTCTGGTATTAAAACCTATTCTTACAAATAGTGTTAACTATTTGCCCATAGCTAGGACCCTAACGGTTGCTACCACCACGGGTCAGGGTGGACCTGGGAACACCAGAAATTAAGAGATTGTTCCACGCTCCTCAAAACCTCCTGATCAGATATCTTGCTGCTGGACGTAGTTTATCGTCTTACCCAGGACGCGGATGTAGTTTATCATCATACCCAGGACGGTCGGATCACGAGGCGGAAATCAGCGTTTAACGAAAACAACACCTAAAAAGATTATATGAATCTTTTTCTTCTCGGCAAAAACATTGACTTTTCAAAAATGCTTTATATTCAAATGGAAACTAATTTTGTTAACTTTTGTAAAAGACAAAGAAAAGTAAAATATATTAATTGATTTTTCTTATGGAAATTACTTTTAAATATAAATGAACCGTTTAAAATTTACCGAGTAAGATTAAAATTGATTTTTCAGATTTGACTTTAATCTAATTTAAACTATTTACATTATTCCGACTATTGTCCTCATCTTTGTCGCCATATTTATTACAACATTTCGGCCGTTGTACGCTCCGGCCTGCTCCAGGTGGTTGGAATGTCAAACTGAACCCTTTATTTCACTCACTGGGGTAGACTATTCTAGTTCCTTCCACGCGCTATGTCTAATGGATGTCAGTTATCAGTTATCTCCTGTTAATTCCCCTCTGAAAGTTCTCCACCGGTTATTGAAGTCACACTTCTTGGGTCTTGTCAATGGATCTAACGAACGCCTTTATCCACTGTGCCATGTGTCCTTGAGGAAATAAGGGGTTCAGTTCGACATTCGAATCACCTGAAGAAGACCGGAGCGTACAACGGCCAAAATGTTGTAATAAATATGGCGACAAAGATGAGGACAATAGTCCGAATAATGTAAATATTGTACATAATATTTCATCTCAGAAATATAGACAGATACTTAATCTAATTTGTTTTGAGGTTTGTAACATCCGTAATGTTATTCTGTAACAACGATTATCTCCCTTGCACCAGAGAACTGGCTGCATGGCAACAGGTCAAGGAAAAAGACAAGTCTAAATTCAGATCCCGAGAAATGTCGTTTAAGGACTTTATAACAGTGCTCTGTTTTCGGCTCTTCCAAAAAGTGTAGTTTGTTCTGCACAAGATTTCATCACTATAATCAAATCATATGTGCGGGTAGTCTGTCTGCTTGGTTCTAATAACTGAACAGACTGCTCCCTCATACGTCGAAAAATGACGGGTGAGCCCTAAATATAACTTAGACGGGGAAACCTAATAATAATAGTAATGACATCACCTAGAATAAAAAAAAAGTCAAACATAAATCATTTTTCCCGAGAGGCAGCTGCTTGGTCTCCGTGTATCGGCCACAGATCAATGTCTTGTCTCATAGAGAAGTCTGCATCCGTCATAATCCAATAGCGACCATTTTTCATATCAACGTCTAGCTGGGATTATTTTATAGCAAAGGACGTAAAATTGGATATTTAATTACAAAACTTAATCTTGTCGAGCGCCAGGCCAAAATTGTGGCGCGTGCAATGTGGGTGTATCGACATCATTAACGGAGGCTCATATTAACAGTTTAATAACATTCAGTCTAGAAAAGACGTCCTTATAAATATTTTATATTTTTGCTCAAGTCTGGCACAAGAGAATAAAAGGGGGGCAGATAATAGGTGTCATACTTATGAAAGAAAGAAAAAACTACGAAACAAAATAGTTAACATGTAAATATACCTCAGACTTTCACCGATTAGATGTTACAAATTTAAGTACAGTACTAGATTGTTAGATAGGTCACATCATTTCTCAATTGAAACGGCTAGATGTAACCGTAAGTTCTATGCTAACAGTTTCTTCTCTTACACTTCTTATTTTTGATCACTGATTTAAATTTAAATGCTATATCAATCGTTGTATTCTGTCTTCTTAATTCCTTTACTTTTATTGTTCTCTCTCCTTAATTATGTTTTCTTTTGCTCATATTAATTCATAATTAGTAACGTCTACTGTCTTAGTGGCTTCATTCCCTTGTTTGGAATGAAATGATTCAAAAAAAATAATTTACTCAACATTTTGTATAGCTTCACGTCTATGTCGGGGTGAACAAAAACTTGAAAAAACCCGATGTACGTTCACAAAGGTTAAATGACACAATGTCAAGAAATGGTAAAACCAATTCTGTCTTACAATAAAAATGATTTTTATTCCTGAACTCAACATTGCAAATTGTTACAAAACATTAACCTCAAAATTTGTGTCATATTCTACATTAGTGTACAAATAGTGAACCCCCAAACTAGGGTAAAAAAAAATGAAAAATACATTAGAAAAATTACCAGCAATACATTTTCATATAAAAGAATAAAAATTACCAGCAATTTATTAGAAATGAAAAATTATATATATATTATATATATATATATATATATATATATATATATATATATATATATATATATATTGTTTTGGTGGAAAAATACCAAATCTTACAAGAAAATATAATTCCGGTTTTAAATGACCCATAAGGTATCGATATGCCGTTAAAAACAAACCATCAACCGAAAGCAGCACTGAGTGTTCGTTCAATGAATGCTAAATATTTCTTTATACGGAAATGGTTGACCAATACTGCACTTTCATCCTAGCCCTATGGTCAGGGAGTGAAGAAAGCCTTAGCAGAGGCTGTGATATTTATTTCTGGTTTTACGGAAAATATGGCACAAGGAATGGGAATTGCTTCTTTTCATCTGTTCTAAATTTCAATTAGCTGGTAATAATCACTGTCTGAAGTACACTGTAATATTGATTATACCAAAACAGAAAATTATTATTTACTGTTCTTACTAGTTACCATAATAATCTATGAATCACTGGCTGCTCGGTCAATGAATTCGGAATATATCCTCATAAGCAAATAGTTACTAATACCATAATAAATTAGGGAAACAGATAATCCACTTTCATCCCGCACCCCCACCCCGATGGCTAGGGAGTGAAGAAAAGCGTAACCCGAGTAGCATTGACTGTTGGGATACAGAATGTTTCCTAATAAGGAAACGGCTAATGTTACCATTAACCTTACGATATAGAGATGCAGTTCTGATTATTACATCTACTGAAGTTACTGATGAGGCTGCTCTAATGACATTATGCAATGCACTTTTGCAGTGCTTTGATGAGGAAATCATAGCATTTGAAACGGCGAAGTGCTTAGCACAACTCAAATGAAATATAGAAAATATCCAATCAGCAAGGCAGATTGGAACAATCCCAGTTAATTACTCTCGTGACAGATTATATTACATGACTGCTGAGAGTACAAATAAGGTTGTCAAGAAATAGCTTCTTTCAACTTCCAAATCATATATATATATATATATATATATATATATATATATATATATATATATATATATATGTATATGTATGTATGTATAGTCATCCACGGACAGACTGTTTCGGTGTATCACAGCTCATCAGTGTGGCTAGACGTCCGGTTGCCTCTAGCTAGGATCGAAACCCCGACTGAATTGGCATCACTCGAGGATTCCACCACTAAGCCATTGGCGCATGACAGAGATGAAGGTGAATTTAAGCGTATTTAATTTTAGATAAATACAAAGTGACTGAGAGAACTCAATTCGATTTACCAAAGAGTCTTGCATTATTAGCCGTAATAGTCACTGTTTACAAACCAACACTTCCTCCCCAGAGAGCTTAACTGGAAATAAATTTTTCAGGAGCTTATATATATATATATATATATATATATATATATATATATATATATATATAGTCATCCAGACATACTGTTTCTCTGTATCGCAACTCATCAGTGTGGCTAGACGTCCGGTTGCCTCTAGCTAGGATCGAAACCCGACTGAATATATATAGTGTGTGTGTGGATTTAAACAACAGTCTTTCATTGGTAGAGGTGTTTAAATTTAAAGCACAACCAACAAGTCAAAAGTAGTTACCGATTGTGAAAGTATCTGAGCCAAATCATTATTAAGGAGAGGAGATTATAAAAGAGAAGGAATTAAAGAGATAGATGAAGATTAACCAGATTAACGATTTAAATCTTTGAAGTTTACTGAATTCAAGAAGCCGAAAGAAAGCTCCACAAGTGAGGAGTGCTATAGATTAAACTTTAAGCATAAAACTTGTGTTTAAATCTAAAAATTCCAACTGTAAAAGGATGAGACCTAACTGCTAATCTAGTACTGCGTTTAAATTTTTAATTTCTATATACCAAACCGGAAAGCTCCTCAGAACAATTAACATGAAAATGTTTATCGAAAAAGCACGGAGAAGGTACGTTACGGCGGTGGATTTAATTACAAATCCTACTATTTGACTGAAATGCAAGAAGTTTTAAATAACTCTGTATTATACGAGAATAATCATCTATGGTTCTCCTCCGGTTCCGAAGAAGATTTCTGGTTTGCAGTTTTCGGAAAGAAATTGGCGAACAGAGTTCTAATTCGAGTCGAGTTAGTTACGTTTCATAAAAAGGATACATGCATCTCATCTGCTCCCAGCAGGACAGACTAGCATCTCCAAATTTGTTTGGCAACAAGTCTAGAAGAACGCAATTATGATTTCAAAACTGGTTAAGATGCTAATGTGAAAATAATGATGTTTAACTTTTGTTGACAAATAGTCTAGTATAGGGGTCGGCAACTCATTCGACCCCCGAGGGCCGGATCGTGTTATAATGACAGGTCACGGGCTGGAAAAAGGCCATTAATAAAAAAAAAAATTAAGGAAAATTATATATGCAGACACCTGTTAACCTAAATATTTAAAACCATAATGAAAATAAACATTGAGAAATCAGAAAAACAAAAGAAAATCTAAAATTAAAAAACGCCTAACAAAAATTACTTTTCCTCAAGGGACATCAAAATACTTCAAAATGAAAAAAATCAACCGAAGTGAAATGGATGAAATTATGACGTGTAGGTTTAAAACTGTTACTGAAAATTGTTCCACAAACGAACTACACACACACACATCAAACAAAAACGAAGCACATATGCCCATACATACGAGTACAAATAGTTGCAAACATATACACTTACGTACGTACACATACGGTATCATCCACACATTCATGAGGCATGTATGTATAATGCGCGTATGTTTAACTGTCTTTAGATTTCTGCTACCCCGCATGTCAGTCCCTCCCTGGCCTCTTTCACTTTATCGTTCCTTTCGCTTCTGTTTTCTTTTAATTTAGCCAAGGATCATAACAAATATGTATCCATTATTGGACATTAAATGTAGGCAACGCAACTTGGTAAAATAAGTCTCATGAAAGATAACTGGCTGATAGTCTAATATTTTAGTGCACTGAGATGTGTAGACATTCTATGGAAAATGACATATAACAAATTTCATTTGAAGGTCGTCTCTAATGTTAAAAATAGTCATTGGTAATCAGACTCGCGGGCCGGTCAAAATGCCCCGCGGGCCGTAGGTTCTGACCCCTGGTCTAGTAGATGGAAAACTCAGGACTTGTATCAGTAAATATTTATGATCTCCCCAAAATTCTTACTATCCATAAATATTTTGCGGCTTTAAATAAACTTAGAATGCTGTAAAAAAACAAATCGTAAATAATACAACTCAAACAATCCATACTTGGCTTTCTAGCCTTGGTTGCAACCAGTCTAAGAGAATTAAAACTCTGAATACTTAAAAGCGGAGAAGGTAACGGGAAATATGACACTATTTTTCTCAAGAATACATCACAATTCACAGATAATACATAAAAGTAATTAATTGAGAGTTCTAATCGCCTACGTCCTAAGATGATTTGGCATTTTAAAAAAGGAATTAAAATATTTACATTATTTACATGTGGACTAGTGTCCTGTTTTTTTTTGGGGGGGTAGGAGGGGTTAATAACAATTATCACGACATTTCGGCAGTTGTATTTTCTAGGCCTTCATCAGGTGCTTGTGGGCCTTATTTAATCTACGAGGGTAGATTGTCTTCAGACTGCTTATCCAGAGATATTATGTTCAGTTTTTATTTTTAATGCTGAAAATATTTAACTGAATTTTCTTTCAAATATAAGAAGGTTATATTCTGGTACAAAAATGGATTGCTGTGAGTCAATTTGATTTTATTAATTATTTATAAAGAAACACGTTTTATCCAATATTAAATATTTTAAAATTGCGTATTTTTAATTTGCATTCAAGATCTTTATTTTTCTTTAAGTTAATCTATCACTGATAACAGACATTTAAAAGTTAACCTGATCTTGTCTGCATATCAAAATGTCTGAATTTGATAAATCAATGCAACAAGGACTTTACTTTCAATGTTTGGATTAAGCCTGATATTTTAATTTCGATTTAAAAAAAAAAGTTTCAAATGGTTAATTTACGGTGGAGCGAAATAACTACCCAAAGTTCCCATCAAACATCTAAACAAAATGGCGTGCTGTTTAACAAGATCTTTCAACGGAGTAGAAAATAAAGAAGATAAAAATGCAAAATTTCAATGGTGCAATATTATAAGAAACTAAATAAGATCCGTTGATATTTTCATTTGCACTAAAAAGTTGGGCTGAAAATAAATATTAAAAACAAAAGTGAACAAAAAAGTTATTTCGAATGTGCAAACCATTTTAGAAGTCCAAATAATATGAAAATTTCGGTTACATGAGAAAATTGAATCCTGAATGAATTAAACGAAGAAGAGAAATTATTTTACAAGATAATAGTAATGCATCTTCGTCTTGTATTAGGCATTTTGCACACGGTTCGCAATATCGAGTACATGATGTTAGAAGAACGAGAAATAAAACTCTACCTGGAAGCAGCGCTTCCAAGAGGAGTTCTACGTATAATGATGTAGGAAAAGTTAAAAGAAATGTAGAGACCATCAAGAAAAGTTGTCTTTGATGTAAAGTTAAAAGAACGCAATAGAAGTTGGAGTATATCGCCAACGGGCTCACAATATGAGATCAGGCAGGGACGTGCGACTGGGAAAGATGTGAAAGATCATAGGAGGTGGACCAATAAAAGAAGAGAAAGAGCTTGAAGAAGTTGACAGTTTCAAAGAAAACAGGGTCGTGCGAAATAAAACGAGGAAGAAAAAAAAGAGATGAAACGCAATAAAACGAAGAAGAGAAAAAAAAGAGATGAAAGATGAAGCGAAATAAAGCGATGATGATATTGATGAAAGAGGTAGTAAACGAAGAACGTAGTAAAGAAAACGAAACGAATTAAAGAGAGGCTAAAATAGACAGAGTGAAAAGTAAACATAAGAAGATTTCAGTGATAATCATCATAAGACTGATAATAATATTTATGATCTTGGAAATATTGGGAAAATTATGACGATATGAAAAGAAAATAGAATAAAATAAATTGAGTTTACAGCATAAATACTATGTGCTGTATCACTTCAGAACATAGACGACTGTGGGTCTCCACAACATCCTATCTCTTGTGACTCTTTCTCACTTTGTTACGGCCTTCACCTCTGTCCCGCAATACATTCACACAAGCTTATCAGTTAAGTGGCTCTCTGATTTACCTATCTCTTGCTCTCAAACTCCTATGAAGTTTAAGTTTTCCAAGCCCTTCTTCGTGATTATGTGTCCAAGTAATTTCAGCTGAGTCTTCCTGATTCGCTGTTTCTGTTTGTTGCCATTTTAACCCTAGAACACTAAGCATGGGTATATAGTACCCAGCGCAAATTTTCCTATTTTTAATTACAATTTTCAGTACCTGATTTTCTTTCCTAAATAATGTTTTTCAGTTCCTATTAATGTTAACTCAATTTGAAGTGCCTGCATGTCAAATATTTCAAATAAAGATTTATATTTAATATATATAAATATATATATATATATATATTGATATTTTCAAAATCGGGTATGACATACACATGGTTAGTAGTGGTGTAACTTTAATTAACGGTTAGTGTTCTAGAGTTAAAGACTGTGGGTTCCTGAGACAAAAAGAAGGTAAAATGTCCATATAAATATATGTCCAAATGGCCATCGTTGTAACTCACTTAACACAGCAACTCATAACAAATGTTCAAAATGTCCTCACCTTGCTTCTAAACATGCACCCGTCGAACCCTTTCAAATACTCCCACACGTTGTCGTATGATTTCGCAGGCCCTCATAACAAGCTAATGAAGCCTCTCTGCATTATTAATACCTGCTGCAAAAACCAATTGTTCTAGGTGGCCGCACAGATAAAAATCAAAAGGATTGGTAGATGTAAGCTAGTTGAATCGTTAACAATGCGACTAAAATGTGCTGGAGCCCTATCATGCATGAACCACATGCGTTTTCGTATTAGCAGGAGTACATCCTCTAGCAGGTCTGGCAGTGTATTCAAAATAAAGTCCCTGCAGACAGCTCCTGTAAGACGTGCTGGTGGAACATATGGACCTACCAGGTAGTCATCTACAATTCCAGCCCACACTTGAATCTAAACTGATGCTGGTGTTTATTGCGACATGGGGATACTGATCCGCCCACAAATGTTAGTTTGTTATTCCATCTCTTCCAAATGTAGTCTCATCCGTAAACAAGACTGAAGAGACAAACATCAGCAGTTAGTGCAATAAACCATCGGCAAACGTTCTCTGTGATGAGTGATTAGAGGGCGAAAGACCCTGCACACGTTGCAAATGATATGGACACAGGAGCTGCTCTTGAAGTACCCACTATGCGGTAATATGAGGTATAGGACATGCTAGGGCCATTTAACGTGTGCTGCTACTTGGATCGTCTCCGATAGCCTGTAGAATTTGTTCTTCGTCGTCTGGCGTACGAGCGGATCTCAATCTTTTTCATCCCATATTTTGTGGTGCCATGGATCAGTTAACTCACTACTACATACGTTAAACGTTGACGACAAACTAGCCACAAATGTACAAGAATGACAAATGTAAACTAGTCTACATGACAACACAGCGTTATCTACCGTACACTTTCTTTAAACTTAATAACTCAAAAACAAAGGATTTGCAGATATATTTCTATATGGACTTTTGTCCTTTTATTGGTGTGAGGAAACAGCCCCCAAAGTTTTTAAAAGTACTTTTGATAAATCTTATATTAATAATATATCTATTATGATCTGCTGACTTTTATATTGAGCTCTCAGTTTATTTAATATTTTAACCTTTAGCTGAACATTTATTATTTTCATTCATACACACACACACACACACACACAGACACACACACACACACACACACACACATGTAATTAATGGCGAAATCACTTAAGACTTAATGAGATATTAATTTACTATCAAATGCTTGAATAATATGATCCTTATATTTGAGTAGTTGTATATTTGAGACGTCAGATGTAATTGACGAGCCAAGTACTTTCAACAAGTTCAAATTATCATCTTCAGGGCGCAATCTTTCGGTCTACACTACAAATATTTCGTCTTGGTGTTTTGCCTGTAAAGAAATATATGTAAATATTACATGTAATTCTATCATCAATCTAGGTTAGGTTGTCAATGCGGGATTAAGATGTGTTTGGGCGGTGCGCGCGTAAGCACGCTTGTGCGTGCGTGCGTGCGTGCGTGCGTGCGTGCGTGTGTGTGTGTGTGTATCTAGTCGACATTATTTGTGTTTGTGTTATACCGGAACGTACCTATTTCTATTGTAAATAGACTCTCCCACAGGTAAGTAGTAGTAGTAGCAGTCGCCAGTGGAGCTGAGTGAGTTGTGTGAGTCAGTCGATGGCGGACATTAAAGTATGAGCCCCACAACTAGATTGCTGCGTCATTAACTATTATTTCAAGTTCCTAACGTTTTGTACGTCGAACCTAATTTAGGACCGACTGAGTGAATTACAAGGCTCTACTGTGAAAAACTACTCTACAACAGTTTGTTGGTTGTCCGCATTGCTTATTTGGCGAGTGGGATTACGTAAAGATCGTTTATAGTAGATAAAGCATGTGTTAGATTTTGTAAGAATGGATATAATAAAGGTGGTTGATTTAAAATAGTGTTTCTGATTTATGTTTATAGTTGGAAAAAATATTATCAGGATTTCCTCGAAGTATTTTCGACATAAAAGATTATAACCTTTTTTAATTAGGGTAGCATTTGTAAAATCAATTATGCCCAGTTTTATTCGTGCGTCTCACGAACGAATTTAATATACATTCATACATATATATATATATATATATATATATATATATATATATATATATATATATGTGTGTGTGTGTGTGTGTGTGTGTTAGTGCCGGGCGTCACATTCTTTATTCAGTTTTCCTGAGTACGCAGGCAAAAAAATATTGTCTAAAATAAATAGTATCTACTCAAACACGGATATCCGCTAATAACAGTTGAAATAACGCACACGCACACACACACACACACATATATATATATATATATATATATATATATATATATATATATATATATATATATATATATTTGTGCATTTAGGCAGCAATCCTTCTTTCATGCACATTTCATTGAATACGACAGACAAGGTGCTTTTATTTAGTTTTTATGCAATTTCTCATTTTTTTCAATTTCTCAACTTTTTTTTCTTTTCAGATTATAAATTATATAAAAACTGTCCGAATGTTCTTTTTATCCGACCGCTTTCGGATATACATTTACCCATTTTCAAGGATTAAATATATATATATATATATATATATATATATATATGAAAATTTCTCTGATTTAACCAATAGAGAAGACAATATTTATGCATAAAAATGACAATAGGGTAATTGCTGACGCGTTTCGTCCAATGTAGACTTTATCCACAATTACCAGCAATTACCAGTTTTCCTATTGTCATTTTTATTCATAAATATATATATATATATATATATATATATATATATATATAAACAAAACTTCTGTTGTGCAGAATTTAAATATGTCTTTGAAAATGAAGGAAACCATTCTTTGAAAGAGACCTGTATCGTCCAAGACTTCTTCAGAGAGATTTGCTGGAAGGACAATAATCAAAACCGATTTACACCAACTTGTTTGATTTTTTAATCGTAATAAATTTATTTCACTCGCAACTCCTTAGTTATCATGCCATGTCGACCTATTTCAGTTTCGACGTTTTCATTATTGTCGTTCTAACAAATCTTTCTGAAGAAGTGTTGGAAGAAAAATGTCCCTTTAAAAGAATGCATTCCATAATTTTTAAAACCATCTACGGGGCGTAACTGCAAAATAGTCCAAATCGTGTAACAGCATAATTCTCCTCTCGCAAAATGTTTAATATCTTAAAAAATCACTAAACTAATTGAGTTTCTTTTTTCCAAGTTTTCAGACAAAACGGTTAGCCATCTTGATACCATTTGTCGTAAGAATCACTAGAAGACACTTTGAGTTACTCAGCTAGAAAGAGAAACAGTTGAAAATTGTTTTCTGTCAGACCCACTATCTTCCCAAATGAGCAATAGTGAGATGAAAATGATCATTCAGGCCTTCAGTAATCCCTCCAACATTCATACTCTGGTTTCTCATCTTCAAAGTCTATTCAAGATCCATCTAAAAAATGGTGAATAAGTTTTAAAAAGGCGAACAGTAGAGAGAAAAACTGGATCAGGAGTTCACAACAGAAAGAGGGATCATCATTTGAACTTAGAACTCAAGAGATCAATTAGAAAAGATCCAACTCAATTCATAAGACGTTTGGCACGAGAGGGAGGAGTTTCACCTATGACAGCCCAAATAGCAATGAAAAAAGATTGAAAATGAAATAGTACGCGAAACCTGTGAGGCATCATATGACACCAGGACAGAAAGTTATATTAGAGGTGGTGAAGATCATCTTGGATAAGTTTTGAAATGATCCTAGAATAATATGTGTGTGTAGTGTGTATATATATATATATATATATATATATATATATACGTGTGTGTATGTGTATATATAAATATACACACACACACACAATAATATATATATATATATATATATATATATATATATATATATATATATATATATGAATATCATATCCTTCATGAGCTTCAGATCCTTAGCTATGATTAATTGATGATGAACATGTTATTTTCGTTTATGATCGATTTCATCATGATTCTTCTGATAAGGTTAAAGAGTAATTATACATTATTATTGCACAAAGTACAGTCGAACAGTTTTATCACAACCTCGGAAAATTCCAGTAAGATTTCTTTAATAATTTCTAAGATACACCATTGCAGCTCTTAATATAACAAATGAACAATTTTG